TATTTACCGTCAATATGAAGATAATAATATGTCACTGTTGACATATCAAAGTATCTATTAATCAAGTTTATTGCGCAGCAGGATATCATTACTTCTTTCTAATGTTTTAATATTTATACTTATAATTTTATATAATTTTAAAATGTAATTTAAATATTTTAAAAAGTTATGTTACTAATTTTTAATATTTCTTCTTTCTATTGAAAAAATTAAAATTTTGGTCGGTAAATAATATTATTTATACCGGTAATGTGGAGATCATAATATCTCATTGTTGACTTCCCAAAGTATCTATCAATCAAGTTTGTTGCATAGACAGATATCATGTGATTTGATAAACCCATGAGTGACGTTACTAATGGTATGATTCATGTTAATAAACAAAGTTAATTGTTCTTCATTCTCATATTGTGTACAGTAAACTCTAAAACTGACCCTTTTATTTTTTGTGTCTATTAAAATTCATGTAATAATAAGATATATAAATGGAAATCACACATGTCTACTATTTATATAATAATCTTGATTTTTACCATTTTATATATTTTTTATCAATTAGGATAAGTTTTTTTCCCGTGCATCGCACGGGCGATGTACTAGTTGTAGCTAAAATGGCATTTTTTCACCCAATTTGGCATTTTTTCACCCGGAGTACGAGTATGTATTTTATTTTGTTAAATTTGTTTAAAACTTTGGAACTCAAATTTAATATTCAACGTATATTATACTCTGTATTCAATTTCTTTAATTTTTTTTGTTCTATTATTTAATATAAGCTTTTAGCCAAAAATTGAATTTATTATGTTCATTATATCTACTTTGAGTTCAAAGAGGCAAAAAATCAAACTATGATGATTTTTTTTTTTTGAGAAAATTACTAAAATAGAATAAAAACAAAGTTGAGTTGTTTCTTAAATTTCTATGTATGTAATTTATTTAGACTTTTTAAATTTAAATGTTGTGAAGTTTTAAATTTTTAAATGTAACTTCTAAATTTACTCTTGCACCTAACACATTTAACTTTTCTCAACTATTACGCCTAACTTAACTCAAATCATGTACCTAACTCAAATCCTGCACCTAACTTAACTTTTCTCAACTACTAAACGATATTCTGCACCTAACTTTTCTCAAGTACTAAACCCCCCACCCTTGCTACCAACCTTGCCTCCACCCATTTCTCCACCACATATTTATCTCTACTCATTCTCCACCCACTCTCTAATTTTAATTTTCTTGCCTCCCTACCACATGTTTATGTATGGGGGCATGAGTGGTAGCAAGGGTGGAGGGTTTTTAGCATTTTCCATTTATGTAATCATATGCTTCCTCTTCATACATTACCATTTTCTTTACTATTTTAGACTTTTAGTATTTCGATAAGTTTTGTTTGTGTATACTTTTACACTATATAATTAATTATACGATATAATTAATTATGTTCATGCCTCAAAATGGGTGTATGCTTAGCCCTCTTGCCCCACCACTGCATGATTTTACGTGGCAGGTGATTTAGGCATTTATTGGTTCCAGTTATAAAAAACAAAGTTTAGCCACTAATTCACATGCCCCGTGCACAGGCCATTTATGTAGAGGGGAATTTCGATTTGGAATTCAGTACTGATAATCTACAGATGCCTTACGAACTAAGAAGAAGAAGAAGAACAAGGAGAAACATGTCTGAGTATTTGCCTCCTGAATCCAGCCCCCCTACAAAGAAGAAGAAGGAGATGCTTTCCTATTTGCCTCCGGAAGTCATCACGCTCATCCTCAGCAGACTCCCCGTGGAATCGGCGGTGAAATGCACCGCCGTCTGCAAGGCCTGGTATGCTCTCATCAAAGATCCTTCTTTCATTCCCACTCATCTGCAACAGGCCGTGTCTCTTCAGGAAGGCGATCTTCTCCATCACGGATTCATCTTCTTTCATATGTGCTGGGACAATGGCGCTTTTGTAGGGTATAAGAAGCTCCGCTTACCCTTCAAGAGCGGGGGTTTTAAATATTTTGGGACTTGTAATGGCCTGATTTGTCTAGTAAATGTCTATCCATTTCCTTGGGATGTAATTCTCTGGAACCCTTGTATTCGTAGACATTTTATTTTGCCCAAGCCTGATTTGCCCCATGGGACGATTCGTCGCGCTACACTTGGTTTCGGGTTTGATTCATTATCTGATGACTACAAGGCCCTCCTTCTGGTTGTGTTTCATAAGGATGGACAGGATTCGATTGAGGCTTGGTTGTTCTCATTAAATAAGTGTTCTTGGCGGAGGATTACTGAAGTTTCCCCTAAGCATAGGTGTTGTTCTGGAGTTAGGCAGATGGCTTTTGTAAATGGTGCTTTGCATTGGCATGGTTTCTTGAATTATGACGCTCTTTCACATGTGATTTTCGCTTTTGATCTAAGCACAGAGAAGTTTCACGTGATGAGTTATCCCAATACTTCAGTTCATTTTCATCCCCACATCTCTGTGATTAAATATGAAGAATCCATCGCCGTGATTATCCCTGCTAGCCATAATTACAATCGAGTTGATTTGTGGGTCATGAAGGAGTACAGTGTAAACAGTTCATGGACAAATGTGTTACATCCAACTGGGGAAGGCAGAGAGTTAGTTATTGACACAGCAGGCTTGATGGATGTATATGGGGTTCGCAAGAATGGAGAACTTTTAGTGAATGTGACTCGGGAGCATGGTCGTGGGTGCGAACTAGCTACACTGGATTTGAACTGCCACCAAAATGAGCAACGGCTAAAGCGACTTGGAATCAGAACCCAGCATGGTGATTCGTATGTTGGAAGCTTCGTGGAGAGCCTGGTGTTATTTGACAAAGGGGAACAAGATACTAAGGGGCAGAAACGAAAAAACAGAAAACCAAAAAAAAGATACTAAGGGGCATTTGGAGTGAAAGCGTAATGCCATTAGCCAGTACAGAAGTAAGTGTCCCCCATCTCTTCTTTATCGGTTATTTCCTCTGCAATTACTTAATTGGATTTGGAATGTGCTCTTGTTTGAAGGCTACTGTTAATGACTTAATGTTCTATGGATGATGTTTGTTCCTTTGATTGTCTAACATAATACTTCCTCATTGGATAAAGACTATCAAGCTGATTTTGATTGAAATTCTAGTTCAATGCATTTGATGCGCAGAACTGCAGAAGCCAGATCTTTATTTGTTACTCCGTACATTATTTGATGCATTTTTTATCATCTATTTCTGGCGTTGTGTTTGTATGCGGTTTTGTTACTTTTGAAATATAATCGAACTATTTGATATGATTAGTTTAACAGATTGGGTGGTGTGATTGAAAATATATTGGAGAACAATGCAATTGAGTTTCCATTAACAGATTGGAATGTGCTTGATATATATTAGTTGTCTTTCTGTTTGACTTGCGAAGAATAGTGTTCTTTTATGTCTTGCTGTTATATGAAGGCATATTGGTCCTCTGATGATATCTGTTCAAAGAGCATATTTTCAGAGTATCAAAGAGAGAGCTCATAGTACAAGTATTTGATACAAATAGTTTAACAGGTTGGGTTTATCGGAGAATTATGCAATTGGAGTGGTGATTCCATGCACCTAAGGTCCACGCCTAAATCCTGGACCTTCTCACAAAAGTTATTGGGCTTAGAAGCTAGAGGGGTGATTCCGTGCACCCAAGGTCCACGCCTAAATCCTGGACCTTCTCACAAAAGTTACTAAGTTTAGAAGCTAATGTGAAAAAAAGCCCGTTTCACCCAAGCTAATGTGTCTAATGCTAACCATAATCCTAATCTTAATTCTAATCGTAATCCTTATTCTAATTCTAATCTCCTAATCCTAATTCTAATACTAATACTAAAGAATCCACATCAGCAAGGTTCATATAATTAAAATGGACCTAAAGACCATGAAAGTATTTGACTATATACTTATGTTGTATAGCTTCCTTCCTAGTTCCTAGTTTGAAATTGGCAATGTTTTCATTTTAGCAGGAACTCACTATATGTCTGATGATGATGAGATTGATGGTGATAATGATGATGATGGTGATGATGTCCTCTTCATAACTCACCCTCCCCAAATGCAGAAGTTGATAACACTAACTAGTACTATATATGTATGATGATGATGATGATGATGATGATGTACTCTTCTCTCAAGTCATTCCTCCACTGTAAAAGTTGATAACACTAGCTGGTTCTGTTGTGTGATTTCCATCTTTGCACACATGCCTCCACTACATTTCTCATATACATAAATTTTGGTTTGCATAGTAATCTAATGAAATAATTTGTTGAAAGACTTCTACAAGATAAAATGTTATGAAATCAATGCTAAAAACACAGATATGCATCCCTTTTTTACATAAATTTGCATATATAATGCCCCTTGAGTATGAAGTTCACTTTTTGGAGAAGTTCACTTAAGTTCGAATTGCACTGGTGGTAGAAGCATTGACTCATTGTGTGTCATTAGATTGAAAAAATATGAACAGATATTACATGGTAATTAAAATTTGCATGATTTGACTGTGTTTCGTACCGGAGTTGAGCTTCGACAATAGACTCGTGGAAAGACATGATTTGACTCATCTCAAAATTTGATACAACTTTTATTGCATGTAAAACTAGCACCGAAACAAGTTTTATTCGGAATGGAGTACTACGCTCATCCAAAGACCGTATTTATCAAACATAACATATTTGGAAAAGTTATGATAAAATAAATTTTTGATAATTTAATTTTTTGCAAGAAAAATTCAACAAAATCATTCATATATTGTTACGCAATACAAATTTTATAAAAGTAATGAACAAAGTGGTGATTGGGTTAAATTGAGTAGAGACCATTTTCATCTCTAAACAAACCAAACCTCCACAAGGGTTGGAATAAGACATCAAGTGAGAGCTCAATTGGGAATTTTATTTCCATCCCCAATGAAAAAAAACAGTTTAGGATGAGCCATAAGTGGCTGACCTTATTAAACTATAACCTCAAATCCACAAGTTGTTTCCCCTCAATCATTTGAGTGAATGAATGAGCAATGTGAAAGATCGCAATACAACTCTTTGTTCAGTAATAGTGAGTGTTCAATGAAATTTAAAAAAAACAAAAACTTCATTACTAGGTTCTGCGAACAGACCGGAAAGTTACCCAGAAGGAGATAAATTGAGTTATAATCACAAATAAAGAGTGAGATCTGTCTATGGTACGTGGAGAACCAAACTCGGACATTACCTCCTTTTGACCTCCTTTGCCATCTAAGTTGCAACCCCGGCAAGAGTGTTCCATGAAATACTTCGAGCATTGAGGGGGGGGGAGATAAAATGAGTGTACAAGAAAGAGTTTTGTGGCATGGGGACACAAAAGAAAGTGAAGGAATGGTCGTGTCTCATAGATGTCCACAAGGCCTTTATGCGAATAAAATTGCAGAATCAAGTCGTCTTGGTGTGCTTGACGGTTTCATGCACAGCTGAGAAGTCGAGGTCACCCAGCCCCATGCTCCTTGCCTTCTTGAATGCCTAGTTGCAAATTACAAGACCGGACCCCGAGGGTTAATACATTTTAAATGTTAAGTGATCCACAATGGCCAAATATTAAAATACAAGCCAACATATAATGTCCCGATCTTTCACAATCTTGAACACGAATAAGTATGAAGTATACTACTCCGTATTTGCATATTCAATGATGCAAGTACGAAATATATTGGTGCCCTATATTTATAATGCGGATGAATGAAATATATTGGTGCCCTAATTAATTTTCAGAGTATGAATTTGGGTGATAATTTTGTTTCGTTTAAGCTATAGATAAAATTTGAACTAAAAAGGGTTATGCTATAGTGACACCAAGGTTGACACCGATGAGGGTCTCACACAGTCACACACAATGATAGTCCGTGCATGATTATCTCTAGTTGTGTCATCCTTGGGGTTAAAGTAGCATTTTCCTTGAAAAAAATCCTCAATAATATGAGGACGTAGTTGACACATGATAAACTATTGCAAAGAGAGTTGGGGGTAGGGGAACAAAATTAATCCTAGAATTGAATGAGACACCAGAGGCTCATGAAATTAATGCGAAATTCAATGATGCAAGTCTATAAATATAATGATACCTCATTTGCAGCAGCTGCAAGGGGCATTGACACTGCATTTTCATCCCCAAGGGCAAGAGCCAGCCTCATGTCCTTCTGTTGATGTTTCAAAGGGAATGCAGGAGAATAATCGTTTTTTATCATGGAAGGACCTTTCATCTTGAACATTGGATTCGCAACTGCTGCAAGATCCTGCCAACAACAAATTCTCAAATCATTACATTATTTGCTCTTGCCAGAAATAACCTCTCTTCTATTTGGTGTAAAGGTAAAGTCTGCGTACATATTTCCCTCTAATGCTATTACTTTTGGGTAAGATATACTGAGTGGCAAATTCTTAGATGCACCTAGAAATACACGGACATAATTTTCGACTTTGCCTTGTAATCAATTGTGTTTCTTATTTTATTATTTTAATTATGTGAGGTTCACAAGAAGCATGACTTAAGGTGCATAATAGAAACGCTCATACTGGCCTACTGGGTTTGTTTGGTTATGAAGAAAATGTAACCAGTTTTCTCTCACCAACACATCAAGGAGAGTTTGCTGTTCCAATCCACTTTTGTCAGCCAATACAAGTCCTTCAGAAAATACATTCATCATGCTGCACAAACGAGGATAAAGAAAAGGTTAAATTAGCTTCAAATCAGTGTCCATTCAAATCCCCCACAAATTCATATGACCATATCACTCTTCTCCGTAATTAGGGGAATTTGGAAGGAAAATTGTTTTCTTTTGTTTGTGGACTAACCTACCTACTTGCTGCAAATATTGTTCCTCATTTTCCATTGTGTTTTATCACTCATCTCTCTTCCTACTTTGCATCCGAACACATCTTCTCTATTGCTTAAATATACTCCCTTGTCTTTAAATGAACTTTGTAAAGTTGTTTTCAAGAGGAAGGAAGTACAAATATTCAAATTAATTTTATACTCCGTATTTAAAATTTTGAAAATATAATTTAAAAAATTGAATTATTAAATATTCCATATGTTCCAAAAAAAACTTTACATTTTCCTTTTTCGTCCTTCCCAAAATAAACTTGGCATTTCTCCTTTTTCCCATTAAGGAATGAAACACGTGGCTCACAAGTTTGCTCTCCGTTGAACAAATTTCAATTACACACTTTTTTATTTTTCAACACTTTCTTTAACAAAATACATTGAGCATGAAGCCATGAAATAAAATAGGGGTAATACACTATCCCCTCCACTCTGTTACCTAGAATGGTTGAGATTAAAGGAAATGGTCAAGGATTAAGAAAAAGAAAGAATTTCTCAAACTGAGATGCATGAAAACAGAACTTGTAAATATGTGGCTTAAAAGAGCACACATGTTCATGAACAACACTATTGTCTATCAATATGAGCTAGAAAAAGAAAAATGTAAACGAATGCAGCAAAAACAGAAACACAACTCTCGTTACCTGCCCATTATCATGTTAACAACAAGTTTCATTTTTGCACCATTCCCAACTTCTCCCAAGAAAAATGATTTCTTTCCCAAGACATCAAAAGCAGGAAGCACTTGATCATATAAATCCTACATTCAACAGGGAAAAGAAATGTTACAAATTCATCAAAACTTGAAGAAATGCACCATAAGACCAACGGTGCTTGGTGCATGCAGAAATGTTGGCCATGAATGGTGCTTGGTGCTTGTATGCAATAAATTGAAATTTTCAAAACATTTAATTTAACAATTATTATGAGCTTTCAAAGAAAAAAGAAATAAATATAAGGTATTCAAGGGATGACTTCCACCCCCCTCCACCCCCACCCCAATTCGATAGGGAGTCGGGGACTTTCCACTTAATAAGTTGCGTACTTGTAGCTACTGTTAACTAAAATGTTAATTAGTATATATAAACATACTATTCAAAAATAAAAATAGACAAGACACCAGTTAAGAAATTTAAACTCTATTACGTAGTACTCTAGATGTTCCACATGTGTAGAGAGAAATCTTCCAGTTCACTAAAACATGTTATTATCATAATGGGACACATATACCAATATATGCAAATTATACATACATAAATATTTAGAGGGGGTGGATTGAGGTAGGGCCGGGTGGCCCCCCTGGATTCGTCATTGCATGAGATATGGCACAGGACATGTGTGTACCTTCTCCCCGGCTGCTAAGATAACCAACTGCCCGTCTTCGGCAGGCTTTTTGCTGCCCGAGACTGGGGCTTCAAGGAATGTACCACCTCTACATATAATTGCCTGCAAGCACCTCATAGAAACACAAACATAGGCCACTCTGCTCTTTTAAGCCATTATTTTCTCCACCATCATTTCTCTTTTCATCTACTCTTTTTGTCCAGATTTAGTTGTAAACTTTCTAAAAAATCTCATAGTAAAGAAATGAGTGTCATTTTTAAAATGTCCTTCACGTAAGTTTGTCATTCATGTCAACAATGCTCATACCATATCTTTATGATATGTTAGATAATTTATAATTTCTTTATTGGAAATGGAAAGTGGACAACTAATTCCGTAGAAATGAAAACAAGAAAGTAGACAACTAAATCTAGATAGAGGAAGTAGTTCACAACATAGAAAAGCTGCAGTCGAGTATAAATATCATAGGAGCACCCTAAATCAAGAGTAAAATGTACACGCAATGAAGTGCATGCAGTGTTGTTTGGCAAGTGCCTTTCCTTGGATTTCATACTAATCCCTCTTTCTCATTCCCATATCATGCTTACCATTCATCAACCATCACTCAGACCAATTCATACTCTTATTTCCTCGTTGACAGCCTAACCTTTTAAAATAATGTTTTAATTCATTTTCCGTTCTATTGTTAATACTAGTATACTACCTTCATTCCAAAAAAGAATTACTCACTATGTCCCGAATTAATAGTCCTCATTCCTTTTTTGGGACGCCACAAAAAAAGTCCCTTTTCCACTTTTGGAAAAGTTTATGTGGTTCATATTTTCTCTCCTATACATCAATTTCAACCACACAACATCACTTTTCTTAAACTCTGTGCCAAACCAAATGTGGACTATTAATTTGGAACGGAGAGAATATGTTTTACCAGGGTACAGGTGTGTTTAGAAGTTGTTTAGGACTTTTTTTCTTGAAAAACAAATGCATTAAAAATGAAGTGTAATGAAAGTTATCTTCTTCTGTTCAAAATATGACTTTTCATACTCCCTCCGTCCAAAATAAGACTCCTAGTTACTATTCACATGTCAAACTAATTTCACTTTCTATATACATTTTCATTGATCATTTGATAAAATAAAATAATCTTGTCACTACTCATTTTGTAGAACTTTTGAGGTAGTTTTTTAATATATACTCCCTCCGTCCATAAATTTCTTTCTCACTTTCCTTTTGAACCGTCCAAAAATTTCTTTCCCATTTCCAATTTTGGCAATAAACTTTAAATGAATGTACCGTTATGCCCCCACTTTTTATCTACACTATTTACTTTATTTCATCACATCAAGGGCAACACATGGAAAGTCTTTACACTTTTTAACTTTTCTTAATCTCCGTGCAAGTCAAACCGAGAAAGAAATTCTAAGACGGGGGGGAGTAATTATTATTTTTTAATTCTACACCAACTTTTACTCATATTAATTTGAAAATAGCTTCAGTCAAACATCGTAAATCGAACAGGAGCCTTATTTTGGGACGTAGGGAGTAACAAAAGTAAGTTTTCATATAGGTCTATAGGACTCTTTACCTCATTGATTTTTGAAGAAGTATCAGCATCAACAGTTGACATGTCTATATAACCCTTTCCATCACATATTTGCTCAAGAACACCATTCTTGTCAAAAACCACCTAACCAGTGATCAAAACACAATTAAGTTAGACAATCTTACAATAAAGTAACCTTGAATCCCATTGTGAAGTTGAGTTCTTGACAAACCGAGAGAGCTGCAGAAGGGTCAGCCAGCATTCCAATTGTATACTTGCATTTTTTAACTACTGCTGCAGGAGTCTCCCCCAAAGAAGCTCCGTGTTTGACTACCTCATCACACTGCATTTATGAAAGGATCCTTAGATTATTACACAATTTCTTTGCATGGAAGCTATTACTAAACAAATCCAAGAATTAAACGCTTCAAGACTTGTGAGAATTTAAAATTCCACTTGAGCTATCACTCCAACAACTGCTAGCTTAGAAGTTATATGCAAAGAGGAGTGAGATGCTTCGTTGAGGGAATCAATATTGTAATCTCAAGCATTTTTCAAAGTTCTTATGTTTAACACTGCCAAATACTACATATGTTCTATACCAACACAAAATGGCATTTCCAAGGGACCCCCCCAATCCCACAAGCCCATGCTCATTCCATATATACTTCCTCTGTTCCTAAATAATTGCAACATCAATTATCACATTTGCCACTAAACAAATTAAATCCTTTATATCTTGAAATATGTTTTAGTAAATTTAAGCACTCCACTTCCAACACAACAAATGTTCTTATTTTTGTTCAACAAATCTCTATTTTCCATGACGTTTTTCCTACGACTACTACTATGTGTTATTTTCCTACTACTAAATGTTATTTCCTACTCTCTAATTTGGGTTGTCCCAAAATCTTCTTCCGCCCTCGTTTTAAATAAAAGATTGTGTGGCCCATATATCTCTTTCCTCTATATTCTACACAAAACACAATGACACGAGGCTGTTGTAAAAATTCATTGTTTTTCATAATAAAAATGAAAGCACTTTCAACCCAACAAGTTCAACCACTTGAAATAATCATGGAGTATCAGCGACCATTCCAACAATAAATTATACATAGCAAAGAGAGAGATATAAATTCAAATCATCAATACCAAACTCATAGGAACAAAAAAATGTTTAGCAATATATATATGAATAGATTGATTAGAAGAGTGGTATTATTTACCCGGGAAAGAGTGCGATTCCAAACAGTGACCTTAAAGCCATGGCGGAGCAAGTTAATGGCCATAGCTTTCCCCATAATTCCCATTCCCAAAAACCCTATCGTCTCCATTTTCACTCCCTATCCCGGTTTTTTTCCTTCGCTTTCAGTGGGAGGCTCTCCCTGTTTTGTTTATTCTGCGTTCAATCATTCATCGGTTTTACTATATACTCACGTGGTAGCTCCTCAGGTCAGGCTCTGTTTGGAACTCCGTAGTTAATTTGGGAACCATTCCAATCCAATTCATCTATTTTAATTCCAAAATTTAAATTCTTGAATTTCAAATTGAGCTTTGTTATGAACTAGTAAAATTTGATTCAAATAGAAATCTAAATTTTTTAAGTTTCCCAAACAAAAAATTTGAGTCAAATCCAAATTCTCAATTTTTTAAAATCCAAATTTTTTAAAAATTCAATTTCTAAAATCCCACCCAATTTTTTAAAATCCAAATCCAAATTCTCAAGCATGCCATAAAAATTTTTAAATATACCGGTAGTTTTTTTTATTTCCTCCTTCCAAAACTAAACTTTTTACAATATTTGATTAGACATATTTTTAAATTATTTTATATAAAAAAATTATGTGGAATTAAATAATAAAAATATATTACATTTGAAAAAATGTATCAAAGATTTTCAAAATTAGAGAAGATATGATTTTGTTATTTTATCAAATAGACAATAAAAATAGGCATACAAAATAGATAGAGTTTAACTATGTGAATAGTAAATAGAAGAATATTTTTTGAATGGAGAGAGTATTAAATCTTATGTTTGTGGTTAATGGTATAAATTATCTTGACTGATGTATCGTTCTTAGCTAGGCAAGAACGATAAACTCGTCTAACAAAATACACGAAAATACAAACACATAGATTTTAATGTGGAATCCAATCGGGAGAAAACTATGAGCCCTTTTTGGTGATATCTTGCCAACGGAAGATTTTTATTAATATTGAGGTGTACAAGGTACATAATTTGAGTTTGAAAGTCATTAATGAAAGGTTGAAGCTTATTCACACGTGTTTTGTTTGTTTTAGCACTGAGCTCCTCAAAAAAATATTTATTATGTTTGAGCACGACACTGTGCAGTCAAAATGGTGTATATATTATTTTTATAGAAAAAACAACTGATTCAGAAACAAGAATCAATGAGGAACTCATAGGACTAACAATATCAACATGTCAAGAACGCAACATATGAAGACTGAATGAAGACAACACACTGAAAACTTATTTACTTTCTTAAGTTGATAATGCTCACAACTTTAAAAAGTAGAGAGCTATGTAATGGGAAACAATACTTGAATTATTTATGAAGATCAATTAGACGAGACTCTTGAACATAATGACTATTTCTAAATAACATTATATGTATTTTTTCCAATGTAATAGTTTTAGTCATTATCCATTAGTCTTTATTCAAGTAAATGTTTGGCAACACTGGATATTATTACTCTTTCTGGACAATATTAAGTACGATTTAAGAAACAAAATAGTTTAAGTACTATTTTAAAAAATGTCTTAAAGTTTAGTGCAATCGAATATTTCTTTTTTATTTTTAAAAAATTGAATTGATTTTAAACACAGTAATTTTGTAACGGAAACGCAGGCGCACACAAAAAAAGCATTCGCCATCTGCATGTTTCCTCAACGTGAGCTCGAAGAAGAAGAAGGTCGGATCGCGTCAATTGTCATCTTCATTCGGGTACGGTTAATTAACCCCAAATCCAATCCAAATCTCCCATCAATTTCAAACCTTTTTATCCTCTGCTGCTCGTTAATTTCAATCCCCAAAACACGCGTTTTTGTTTTCCCCGTTCGATCGACGCATTCATTTCACACGGAGTAATATTGTTTCAGAAAAGCTCAGGAGCAAGGAGTTGTTGGAGAATAGCGTTAATTTCTGGGTTCAATTTCAATCGATCGGTTTGGGGTTAATACAGGAAGAAATAAGAATGAGCGGGGTGGGGGAGGAAGAAGAGCTCACGTTGGAGTACTCGCCGACTTGGGTGGTCGCCGCCGTCTGCTCCGTCATCGTCTCCATCTCCCTCGCCGTTGAACGCCTCTTCCACTTCACCGGAGCGGTTTGTGCCAATTGAAACCATTAGTATTTTATATATGGAGTATACTTTTTTTCCCTAAAATGGGCCAGATTAACCGTGAAATCTCAAAAGTAAACATTGTTACCGGTTAGATAACTTTTCAAAAAGCCAAAGTTAAGTTTTGAAGTTTTTGGTAAACATAGATTTTGTTTTGCATTTTTCTTCCCGTTTTCGTTTTGGAGAGTCTTATATTTACCTTCTACATTTCCTGAAATGGAAAAACCATTCACTTCTCTTTGCAACTAGAAGATTATTTTACCTTTTGCATTATTCACCTTTTTTTATCACTCTTCAATTTACTACACCACCGAGAACACAAATGGGAATTAAAGTCAAATATTTTTTTCATTTAAGGGAGTACTTGAAATCGTTTCTTGTAAAAACTACTATCCTTTAACCAATATTATATTTCATTATCTATTAGAAAAAACCATAAAGACAAATCTAATGGGATTTTACTTGATACTATTTGTGTTCATATTTTAGTAAAAAATATGGTCAAGGTAGTGCATATGAATAGTGGAAAAGTCAAAATGTTACAACTACTAAGGTCCATATTAGAATTATGGACCTTCTCACATAAACAATAATCCATTATATGAATATTCATTATTTATTTATTTATTAGAGTAATTGTTTATGTGAGAAGATCCATGGTGGACGTTAGGTCCATGATAGAAGCACTCTACTCTGGTACAATTTTGCATAATGTGCTCACAATTTATCCATTCAGTATCTGAAGAAGAAGAATCAAAAGCCTCTCTATGAAGCTCTCCAGATAGTTGAAGAAGGTTAACACCGCTCACTTCATCACTTATGTATTTAAATGGTTAAATTTTATGCTTTGTTCTTACTGGAATGGTCATTCTTTTCCTACATATGCATTCGTATTTTTGGAGAAAATGAAACTAACTGCAAGGCTATATATATGAGTAGAGTCTCTAGTTCTCTGCCTTTTGTGTCCGGTTGCAAGTTTTGGATGGCTTTTTTGGGCAACTCATAAAAGGCAGCTACTAATGGAGTTAAATTTACACTTATATTTATGTTATTTTTTACCTAAACATTTATTTTCGGGACTCAAGTTGATACCCCATCATTTGTAAATGAAAGGAAATGTGATAACTTCCCGAGACCTTTTGTGTGCGAGCCATGCCATTGGGTACCCCATTTCTTTTCTTTTATTTAGTTCATAATATTAATATGACAACAACAACGAACAGTGTAATCCCAACTTTATTGGAGTCTGAGGGTCAAGATATACAATCTTACCCATGAAAACAGAGAGTTTGTTACCATTAGACCCTAGATGCATTGTTGCACTTACTTTCCAAAACTTCGTAGAAAGTAAGAAGGAAGGGAAGTTTAGTGTGCCATTTTGATTAAGACTGACAGAGTAATATGATAGAGACATAGAGTAATAGGAGAGTAGTTTGTGTTTAGTTTGCACTTTTTTGTATTTGATCAACTTCAGATCCATTCTTAACACGTGAAAACAAATTTAAATTTTTTATGCTTCTTTTGACCTTTATTAATAGATCAAGTTGCTCGTTTCAGCTTAGCATTACAAACTTTGTATGTTGTTTTGCGTTTGTATATGTATACATGAATTATTAAGCAAGTGTGTGTGTGGCTGGGTGGGTGCAGAATTGATGCTGTTGGGGTTCATATCGTTGCTACTTACGGTGTTTCAAGCTCGTATAAACAAGATGTGTGTGCCTCCCAACACAATGCACCACATGCTCCCATGCCCCCTAGCTCAGGAAGAAGCATTTTTGGCTGCTGAATTGGCTCCTGTTTCTTCTGCCAAAGAGTTCAAAAGTTGGGAAAAGCCTGTAGAGCGAGTGCTAGGCGCTGGTTATTGTGCTGCCAAGGTCGCAAAACCATATTGAAGTTTAATTTCTTTCACTTTGCTCCAAATTTGTTGTTATTGTTTCTTTTAGGGTGTGTTTGGTTCGAGGGAAGGGGAAAGGTGGGGGAGGGGAGGGAAGATGAGGCAAAATTTTGGCTCGAGGTGTGTTTGGTTGGAGGGATTGGAAGGGAGAGAAAATGTTGACTCTTCTCCTGGGAGCATTTTCTCTCCCTTGCCATCTAACAAAACACACCTTTAGAAATTATGTGTACATGTGGTATAAGCCAAAAGTATACTTATAACTTAGAGTTTTAAGTTTAAATAAGTGGATAATTTTAAGCTATTACTGGTCAAAATGATGATGAGAAGACTGAAGATGCACATTAATGATCCATTGGTAGCATGTTCTAGCTTATTCACCATTTCATCAAAATAAGTAGTTTTTAATTTGATTTTTTGTCTGAAATAAATCTTACCAAATACTTTTTTTTTTGGGGAAACCAAACAAATTCAGCCAACCAAATAAACCTTTAACAATTGTAGCACATATACTCGTTTTTTGCAGCATAAAGTACCATTACTATCTTTGGAAGCATTGCATCACCTGCACATCTTCATCTTCATATTGGCCATTGTCCACGTCACGTTTACCCTTCTCACCATAATAATTGGAGGTGCAAAGGTTAGCCCAAACTCTCAATAATAACTACTTTGATCAATTTGCATCATCCCTCCACCTTTTGTTGCGGTGTACCTTCTGAAATAATTACCGTTTACATATGGTATGTATAGATACGCCAATGGAAGCACTGGGAGGATGGAATTGCAGAAGCTAATTTTGAGACCGAACCAGGTATGGATCATTCATCCTATCTCTTGGTTTAATGCATTTTTCCTTGCTCGTTATTCATTTTCAGGGGATCTGGTATGGATTATTCATTTTCAGCTAAAACCCCTCCAAACCCGTGTGTCAAAATAGACCCTCATAGTGTGGTTGGTTCAAGGGGAGAGGGGGAGATGAGAGGATGCAAGGGATTATACTGAGTATTAGGGTGTGTTTGGTCGGGGGGAGGGGGGGATTGGGTGCACACATGGCCAGCACAACCAAATTCACAATAAGAGTATTGTCCATAAAAACAAACAAAATGGGTATACGATGAAGGTTGGATTCTAAAATAGAAATTAATAACCATGGAGAAATCATCATAAACAGATGGTGCATCTTTGTAAATTAATTGTCATAAATGTGGGTGCTTCTATGTAGATCTGCAACCCGGATTCACCGATGTCCGCCAACATGATTTCATCAGGACACGATTTGTGGGCGTGGGTAAACGCTCAACCATCTGGGGCTGGTTGGTATGCTGCTGTTGTTCATTATATCTTTCCCGGTTGAACCTGATTACCCGTACTTGGAAAGATAAATTTTAAATTTGATCAAGAAATATATGGATTGTTTGGCAAAGTTTATTCAACCCAAAAGCAATTTTCTGATAGCAAAGGCATTTTGTAATTTGTAAATTCCCCTTTGACAAGCATTGAATTTAAAAAAAGGACTACAAATGGAATACCATAGAAAAAAGAATATTGCGTTCTCTTTTTACCAAAAAAATACCGACTTTGGTTTACCTTCATTTTGCAGCACTCTTTCGCTAAGCACTTTTATGGTTCTGTCGCCAAATCAGATTATATTGCACTTCGTACAGGGTTCATTATGGTAACTATCTGTCAACAAAGAGTCTATTAAGTGCGTGTTTTTAACGCTACTTAGTGTTTTCAAAGTTAATCCGTAGCATTAAAAAATTATCCAAAATGCTAACGCTATTTGAAAATCTTTTTCTCAAACAAGGCATACTGCCCCTAATTTAGTTTAGTTGCATCATATATGTTCATATTAAATTTCCCTTTAGAGACACATTGCATCCTTTCGTAAACAGTCCCTTTACTCAAGTTAGAGATAGGGCATGTGCACATCGTTCCCCAAACCCTACTCTTTGTGGTATTCACTAGGTTTGTTTGGTTTGGTCTGGTTTAGACACATTGCAGGGGGAACCCGAAGTTCAATTTTCACAAGTACATGATGCGTGCATTGGAAGATGATTTCAAGAAAGTTGTGGGCATTAGGCAAGTGATAATGATAGAGTTCACAATCTAATCTTATTTTAATTTCAGTAATTAGTACGAATCCTTTCACATTGTATTCATCACCTTGAGTGGTTTCTTTAACATTTTGCAGCTGGTATTTGTGGTTATTTGTCATTTTGTTCTTGTTGCTGAATATCAATGGTATGCAACTACAAGCTCGAGTAGAACTGCTTTTTTATCATGCTTTTAGGTGTGGTTTGGTAAGATGTTATCAAATGTATTACTGCTTTGCTCTTCTGTGGTATTTTATTGAGTTTGTTGTTTTGTTAATGTTACATTACATGTATTGTTGTACGGTCTGCCAAACTACACCTAGGTCCATCATCATTAGATTTAGGAACTGATTAACCAGATACGTTTTTGCAGGGTGGCATACATATTTTTGGATAGCATTCATTCCTTTTGCAGTGAGTGACATTAATTTCCACCCGTAACTATCATTTTAAATTATTATTCTTTTGGGTCCTTTTACGATATCAATAGAGCATTAATCTATCATTTTCTACCATTTCCCTTCGCCATCCACTGATGTTAGTGTACATAGCACTTGAAAACATCAACATGGATATTTTTGTCATTTTAAACTACTCCGTATTTTTTACAATGAATTTTGGTGGAAATTACTGCTTTCTTAGCATGTATGCGAACTCTTAGGACTGCACAACTCACACACTCAATCTGAATGAAGAGCACATAGAGCAACAGAGAGAAACACAAAGGAATTTGTGGTAACACATGAGAAATACTCCTTATTTAGCAGTACATTAAATATTCCATAAGACTCCACAACCTAACTCAAACACCTAAAATTACACTTGGAAAATGAATGCAGTAGTGAGCATAAGCTCTAAAAAAAGCATGTTGACCTTTAAAGGGGTTGTAGTTCTGGTTTATTGGAGTTTCTTTACACTTTTGTTTTGTTGCTTCTTTCCCAGCTCCTACTTGCTGTAGGTACAAAGTTGCAGCATGTAATAATACAATTAGCTCATGAGGTAGCAGAGAAGCATGCTGCAATAGAAGGTGATTTGGTTGTGCAGCCTTCCGATGAGCACTTCTGGTTTCACCGCCCCCGTATCGTTCTCCATTTCATTCACTTCATTCTCTTCCAGAATGCTTTTGAGTTCGCCTTCTTCTTTTGGATATGGGTATCAACTCATCCACTCTCTCATTCGACCCCAATCACATATGCCAACTCAAGCACCTAATTAACCGTATAATAGAAATGCAATAGATTCTTTTGGCATCCAACCCTAGTGTCATATATGATACCCGGTCCATTTGAGGGCCCCACACAGCTCTGTTTGATTCCGAAGTGGCCCCTAGCCTATCCCCTGTGGGAGACAATCCACTGTCAAGTATAAACTTCATAGTGGATTGTCCCCCACAAGGGGGTGGGATAGGAGGCGGGTTAGGGAGGTTCGGGGGTACAAACCACTTTGGGGTTGAACGAAGCACGGTAGGACCCTAAAACGGACCGATGTCATTTAATGACACTAGCCCTTGGTATTAAAAAAACGGGCTCTAAAAGTGCACGTTTTTATTCACTTTTGTAGTTGCAATATGGATTTGGTTCCTGCATAATGGGGCAAGTCCAGTACATTGTTCCGAGGCTTGTCATAGGGTATGTATATACTCCCTTGTCCTAAAATTATTGCTCACTTTGACTAGGCACGAGATTTAAGAAAATGAAGACCATGTAGTTTAGATTTATTTATAAATAATATGAACCTTCCTTTAAAAGAAATGAACTACTCTGTATATAATTTAGGGACGAACAAGAAAAAGAAGTAAGAATATAACGTAGGGACAAAGAGAGTATGATATGATCAATTAATTACTCCCTCGGTCGCTCCCCTCTTTCTCCCTAGGGTCTTTATTTTGTGATTGAAATGTTCTTTGCAGAGTTATCATTCAAGTGCTTTGCAGTTACAGCACTCTGCCACTTTATGCCATTGTCACCCAGGTAGGTAACTTCTTCATTGAACAATTCTTCATTTCCAAAACCATATTGTTAGAGTATAAAAACCTTTCATGGTGTGACAAAGCACAAGCTTGAACTTTTGGTTGAGTTGATCCCTTGACACTACTCTTATATATGGTGGATGAAATGTTGTCAAACTCGCAATGTGTAGATGGGAACCCACTTCAAGAAGTCGATATTCGACGAGCACGTTCGGGCCAGCCTTGTTGAATGGGCTTTGAAGGCAAAACGAAAGAAGGAGCTGAAAGCTACAGTGGTGGCAACAGCCTCCAAGGAGGAGGAGGCTGCGAAGGATGGTTCATCGGGCGTGCAAATGGGAGAGATTCATGCAGCAGAAGAGGGACAGTCACCAAGAACTGGTCACCACGATGGTTTGTAGCTGTGTTGCATTGGATTCTTCAAACAAGTGCCGCTTCCTGTCTCTGAAATATATCCCTTCGGGTACTTGGGGACGCCCTAACACCCAAATTCCGTGTTCCCGGTTTCGTCCCCATCTATGTGCAACTTTGATTTGTGGAAGTTGTTCGGGATCATTTGTACATGCAGATGGCCTGGTGGTGATCCAATCCACAATGGTATATTGAGCAAACCAAAATTTGTGTATAACTTCATGAGATTTAGTCATCCATCTCAGATGTACAATGAAGAACATGAACACTTTATTATAGGGTATATCTTATTTGTTACATTGGGGTATCATATGTGAGTCCCTAATCCACAAACATTTGATACGAAAAATGTAAACAGCAGGTATAATTGACCTACAAGATTAGGGTCTCCCTTGACCAGTAGAATATGCTTTTGTTGTTCAAAAATACCCCCACTCGTTTGCACCTGAGAAGGGATCACACTTATATTTTAAGGATAATATGGACTGCAAAAATTTAGTCTCTCCATTACTCTTTCCCATCATGATTACAGTTCATGTTCTCAATTCCATTGAATTCAGTTACAAAGAATTTTAAATCCAATTCAATTTCATCCATTCCGTGTACCAAACAGGGTGTTTAATAAAATGTGCAACCATTTATCATGTTCCACAAAGCATAGTTCAACTGGCAAAAGTAGTTGGTGAGCCTTGTTGGTGACCTACAAGGTGGGGGTTCAAATCTCTGTTTGGATTTGACCCCTTGTAGGTGAGATTAGGCGTGACAAAAATCATGTTGTCCTTGGCTAGTTGAAGCATATCCCGTAATTTACCTCTTTCACCAACCCAAGGCAGGGGTGTGAGAGACGCCCTGGATGGAGGGTTTACCTTTTTTTGTGCAACCATTTATCATGATAATTAACTTCACCTAACATATGAATGATCTTTTCATAAATAACTTAAAAGTTATGTATAAAAACTTTAAAGACAATTGAGCGCAAATTATACGGTACACCCGATTGTATCGTTCTTCGTATACATCCAATTCTTCTAACAAAATTTCACTGTTGTTTGGAGTTTCGTGGTTGCATTGACGAGTGCTTTGTTTGCCCACTCTAGTATTTGATTGTGTTTCTTTTTGGACGTGCGTTGTAACCCGTTGTTAATCCATCCGTCACTATTCATCGTCTTTTGCAAAAGCGTGAAAATCTCGAGAATCTTTTCTTCATCACTAAGAAGATGAATAGTTCTTATATAAATGTGATGTGCTTTATGTATATATATACGAAATGTGTATACATATATTGTATTTCATAAATAGCATGTTAAAAAATACGGAGTACTACGTAAATGTATGAAGTGAATATTATTTTAAATGAAATGAGCATTGTGTAGCATTGAATTGTGCATATATACAAAGTATTTTATATAATATGTATGTTTTGAATATATACAAAAATAAATAAATACAAAAGGATGTGAAATGTGTATTCAACAAATACTCCCTCCGTCCAACAATGAAGTTTTCGTTCAGTATTCACATGATTAAAATTTATTCACTTAGTATACTTCTATGTCATATTTGATAAAATAATATAGTCATGTCACATATAGTTCTCTAGATCTTTTTATATAGTTTTTAAATATTTAATTTTTATCTTTTAATTCTATGTCATTTTTTTTATATAAAATGATTTCAAAAAAACATAGTCAGGCATCGTAACATCCAGCTCAAACTTTATTTATGTACATAGGTACGGGAACTTTATTTGTGATGTAACGTATACACTTTTCCCGCCTAATCTGTTAAACTGGACTGTAATTCTGTAAATACTCCCTACGGATTCAAATCTATGCTTCAGTGAGGTTCGGATGAGTTTGGCCATACATTCGAACTTTGGAACCTTCTGTTTGGCGGGAAAGCGAAAACCCCCTCCAGTTACAGTGCAGGAAAACCGCCACCGGTGGTCGCCGACAACCACATTCATGACCGGCAGCGGGGAAAGGGGGAGTCTAGCCACCGCGTCCAATAAGAGGCCTCGGCGGAGCTCCGAAGTCAAAAAGGACCCTCCGGTCTGTGGAGGTGACATAGAGGATGCTGTCTTCTTCGCCCGAGACGAAACCCTAGAAATCAGGGCTTCCCTGTTGGAGTGGTACGATCGCAATCGAAGAGATCTTCCCTGGAGAAGAGCAATCGAAAATGCAGGCGAGGACGAGAGAGAGAGAAGGGCTTACGAGGTTTGGGTTTCGGAGGTCATGCTGCAGCAGACTAGGGTTCAGACGGTCATAGATTACTTCAATCGGTGGATGGAGAAATGGCCGACTGTTCAGCACCTGGCTCGAGCTTCTCTAGAGGTTTTATGGATCCTGTTTTAGGGTTTCTGTTGCCCCGATTGAATCTTAGTCTGCTTATTTTTTTCATTCCCATGTAATTGAAATTGGTTTGCAGGAGGTGAATGAGTTATGGGCAGGCTTGGGCTACTATAGAAGGGCTCGTTTTCTTCTAGAGGTTATCTAGTACACTTGAGTTTTTTTCTTTCCCCTTGTGATCGTTGATTAGACAAACATAAATGAATTTACAATTAAAATGTAAAACTTTGAATAAAAAAAGATTTTCAAAAAATAATTATTTGTTTATTCATATTAAGAGCTGCATTTTGCAGGGTGCTAAAATGATCGTTGAAGATGGGAATGGTTTTCCAAACACCGCATCTGGTCTTCGAAAGATTAAGGGAATTGGCGAATACACAGCTGGGGCCATCGCTTCCATTGCCTTTAATGAGGTCAATACTTTCTAACTTTTTGCTTCGACAGTTATCTTCTTCCATTGTTTACTTTTTTCTTATTTACAAAATCTTCATATAGGCAGTGCCTGTTGTTGATGGAAATGTAGTCCGGGTCATTGCAAGGCTTAAGGCCATATCTGCCAATCCTAAAAGCAAAGAGACCATAAAGAATCTTTGGTGAGATTTTCTTTTAAGACAACATTTCGTTTGTTGTTTCCTTCCTCAAAATCGTTAAGCACAGATGTTTAACTAGTTAAGACTAAAATTATTCATCATCATTGATCCCACTTATTGGTTTCAACTCTCGTTCTCTAGACAAATAATATTAAAAAAATTTTAAAATTCACTTCAATAATTAGAGTGGAGCTTTGTAAGCCACGCTATTTGAGAAAAAATAGAACTTGACGACTTGCCAAAATGTAAAACGTTAAATTTCAGCATGTGTTTCATCTAATGATGTTCCCATTCATGACTTCATCTATTTCATATGCTGACTCATGCATTTCCATTGAAATAGGAAATTAGCAGGCCAACTAGTTGACCCTTGTAGGCCTGGAGATTTGAACCAGTCTCTCATGGAGCTTGGTGCAACGACGTGCTCCTCGTTGAATCCAAGATGTGATGCATGTCCAATCTCCACCCAATGTGGTGCCCTGTCACTCTTTAAACAAGATGAAACTGTTGCCGTTACAGATTTTCCAATTAAAGTAATCAAGGCCAAAAAAAGGCATGATTATTCTGCTGTGAGTGTTGTGGAAATTTTAGAGAGATCAGATACTAACAGTAGTAGGTTTCTTTTAGTAAAGAGACCAAATGAAGGTTTGCTTGCCGGGCTATGGGAGTTTCCATCTGTCTTGTTGGATGGAGAAGTTGACTTGGCCTCAAGAAGAACAGCTACTGATAACTTTCTGAGATCATCAATCTACTTAGATATGAAGAAGTCCTATACTGTTGTTTTAAGGGAACACATCGGAGAATATGTTCACATCTTCACTCATATCCGTCTTAAGATGTTCATAGAGTTGTTGGTCCTGTGTCCAAAAGGTTTCTCCTACATTACCTTTTTATGTTTAATCATAGCTCTTGTTTCGTCAAAAATATACTTTCCTTTAAAATGTTTGTTTTTTTATTGTACTGTTTTTAGCTCAGGAAAACATTTTGTAGAATAGGTTTTGATATGTTTTGAACGGGATTGGTTTAGATCCTGGAAAATACTTAGAGAATGAAAAACAATGCTAAACAAAGCAATTTCCTTGTGTTTGGTTTTGACTTAAAAATGCATAGGAAAATTTGTATGATTAGTTCTTTAAAGTATTGCACAAGTTTATATTACAGAGTTACAGAGCCTAAGTTTGAGCCCATGGTTTAAAGTTTTAAACCCTCCCCCCCCCCCAAACAAAAAAAACAGAAACAGAAAGTAAATTCCGAGTACCTTTTATGTTGTTGTTATTGTTAATACAGGAACAAGAAATTTGCAGAGCAGGAAAGAAGGTAACAACACTGCAATATGGAAATATGTTGATGGTGAAGAACTCTCTACCATGGGGTTAACATCAGGAGTCAGAAAAGTAATGTGGAAAGATTCTAATTTAGAGTTTCTTTTAGTATTTACATTTGATTAAGACTTGGAAGCACATATTTTGGAATTTGAGACTCTTTTCCTCTATACAAACAAGTCACATGGTTACCAAACTTTGAATATGTTCTTGAAATTGAACTTACCAAATTGTGCTTCTTCTACTTTATTTTTGTATCTATCTATTTATCTCTTTATATTAATGCAGGTGTATGACATGGTTCAGAAATATAGACAAACTAAATTGGATTCCACCACTATGAAACAAAGACAAAGGACAACAACATCAAGAAAATAGAGACTTGCCAAGAAATTTTGCCTACAGTTAAGGGCCTTCACTGGGACTTACAAAGAATACTTCTTACTGATGTGCAAAGTGGTACATTGGGTTTTTTTTGTCTCGTGAGAGTGAGAACTTGTAGCTCTAGCATGCTCATTTTGTGGTTATATGTTCTATCTGCTGCCATCATGGTTTCGAGTCTTCGACTCTTGGAAGCAGCCATTTGCAAAAACACAAGGTAAGATTTTTCTTCACCACTGCCTAATGGTGGAACCCTTCCCCCGGGTTGCAAAAAGAAACCAGTTAACAAGAGACTTTTTAATACAAGTAAAAAAGACTAGTCATCTATATGCCTTTTCTTTGCTTAATGTCATAACACTCAAGTACTCTATATTTCATTAGGAAATGTTGGTAGATTAATGTTTTAGATTACGTCATATGTAAGATCGCTCTTGCTAAGGTCTCAGTTACAAAAGCATTAGAATGCTTGTTGTCTCTTGTTGCAGGTGTGATGGTTTTAATTTGGAGTTATGTCCGAGAGATCAATTTTGAGCAGAACACTCCGGCAACTAATGCTTGGATAAAATTGTGTGATATTTATGTACGGAGTATAAGTTAATGTCACAGTCTTGATCTGTAACTGATATATTT